TATAAATATATACTTGTATGATAATTATCATATTTAAAATTATAATAAGTATAAGTATATAAAGCAATATTTAGACTATTATTATTATTATCAATAGAATCTTTTTTTAAATAGAATATTTGATATTATCATTTATCATAGACCATACAATCTAAATGTCTGGTTGAATTTTATAAATATCATTTTAATTAATATATTTTTTTCCTGCAATTTCTCTAAAATGCTACTTTCATTATCGTGAACTTAGTTAGCTAATTTTTAATTCACTTAAAAATACCAAAAAATTTATATCTCAGAGAACAATTTCTGTAATGATATATACTTTACCATCAAGTTGATATCCTGAACGCTATTAATGTTATTCTTTCAGTCAAATAAGTTAACTATGATTTGAAGTTAGGGAAATAATAGCTATGACTTAAATCCAATCAACTTGATACACTATTTATTAGAGAGTTTATATAGTTAACAAGAATAATTATAAGTTTTATGTTTACAAAATGTTAAAGGTGTTTATTATTATTATTAAATATATATTGAATACAATGTTGAGAACTTGTTGGAATCTGTTCTTTTTCCAAGGCATTTTTATGCCCTTTATATAGAAAATTACAATTAAAAAAATCTATGGTAAATATGATACTACTGACAATAATAACAGAGTTAATAGATATGCTAATTATATTAGATATAATATAAATGATAATAAGGATATAAATAATAGAAATATAATAAATAGTATGTGTGTCCTATTTAGCAGATATGATAGATTTGGCAGATATGGCAGATATGGCAGATTTGGCAGATTTGGCATATATGTCATATTTGACAGATTCATCAATTTTTGTCAGTTTCAACACCCTCTCATATACATATATTTTAACTTATTATAGAATGATTTAATTAGATTATTTATATCTATTATATTTCTAGTCATATCTTTAGCATATACTATTCACATTTCATACTTTAGTTTTCACTATCGCTCAAAACAATCAGCAAAAGTTTGTATCATTTCAATATCTATCTTCCTTTATTTATTGATTGATTTAATAATTTATTCTTGTGCTTCAAAGTTATCCTATTCTTCTGTTTTCATCAGCTACCATAGATCTTTCTAAATGATTTTTTTTTGTAGATCAGTGGTCATATCATACTTACATAATTTTCTCTACCAAGAGTACAATACATGAAAGTGGTATAAAAATACTGTACTATCCAAAAAAATATGATTAGACTGCTTTTATTTCCTCTCCTGCATTATATTCCATAAAAATATCCAGCTTTTATATCTTATTTTTATGGATTAGAAAATCAAACCATCTTATTAATATTACCATACGTTGAAACTGGCAAAAATTTATGAACCTATCAAATATGACATATATGCCAAATATGCCAAATCTGCTATATCTGCCAAATAGGACACATATATTATTTATTATATTTCTATTATTTATATCATTATTATTATTTTTATCATATTTAACATAATTAGCATATCTATTAGCTCTGTTATTATTGTCAGTAGTATCTTATTTACTATAGATTTTCTTTAATTGTAATTTTTCTATATAAAGGGCATGAAAATGCCTTGGAAAAATGACAGATTTAAAAACAGATTCCTACAAGTGCTTAACATTGTATTCAAAATACATTTAATAACAATAATAAACACCCTTAACATTTTGCAAACATAAAACTTATAATTTATTTCTTATTAACTAAATATACTCTAATAAACAGCGTGTTAAGTTAATTGGATTTGAGTCATAACTATTGCCTCCCTGACTTCAAATCATAGTTAACTTATTCGACGGAAAGAGTAACGTTAACAATGTTTAAATTTACTTATCAAAAATGCGACTAGATATCCACTTCTTATTAATAGATATTGCATAATAAGTTTAAAAAGATGATATCTGTAATAATTCATCCCGTGTATACTATCTAAATATAATACTCTTGTGAATTTCATTAATATTTGTTATTTTTTTATCTGAAATGCAAATATAAACCTGCTATCACTTGTCTCATTATAGCATTCAATAAACAACTTCCACCCTTACTAATGATTTTTTCTCTTTATTTTTCTAAAGATTTTAATTCATTCATATCAAAATAAGCGAGTAATTTTATCATATTATATACAATTATATATATATAATCTTATGTTATTAAACTGTCTCATAACATTTGAATATTACAGATTGCTTAAAATTCTTGTGTTTGATTTCAGCGTTATAATATTCCTTTTTTACTTGATCCTAAAGTTCAATTGCTTTAAATTATAAAAGTTTTGTATACTGATATTATTAAGTCCTTTAAATGCATGCTATTGAATAAAATTTTGAATATTATCAAAAAGATGTAAAGCACACAAATCTGATAAATATCTAGAATAATTGTTAATATATTTATAATAATAGTATAGAATAACATTTAATGAATTAATAAGAAGTGTAATATGAATATAACTATTGTAATTACATTTTTTTGTTTCTTTTTGTACTAACCATGGTTTTTTACTTAGATTTTTTTAGTAATACTCTTGTATTCTCCATAGCAGTAATAATACCATTATTCTGTCATTAATTCTTTTTCTTCTATTACCTAATTTACAATACTAACGGTTATTTTGAATATAGTTAAGCCTTGCCCTTTCAAGATTTTTGATTCATTTTACATATTTTTCTATAGAAAATGAATAGATTTTCTTTCTCTTTGTTTTTTATATTCCTTTCAATATCTTGTTATCATCTTCTACTATTTTTCATATGTGATTGATACCATTTATCACATTTAAGATAAAATTGATATCACTATCACTTAGATTCATATCCACTTCGTCAGTTTCTACATTCTTATTAATATCAAATATTGTATTAATATTAAGAGATTCAGATATAATAAATGTAGTATATAATAATTTATGAAAAATATCATTTCTAAATCATATGATATAATACTAATAAAACAAGAAAAACAAAATAATTTAAAATTAAATATTATGAAGATTTGTAATAAAAGTTTATAAAAACACAATAATAATATTATATAATAATAAATACAAAAAAATTATATGCTTTTCTTCAAAAAGATGAAATATTAATAAAATTATTATACAGTTAATAAATTTCTAAAGTCATCCTTGCAATTTAAAATATTTCTTGGAAAAAGAACCTTTTTTTTTATAAAATTTTTTAAAAAAAGTTTATTGTTATTATTTGCATATCTTTTTAAAAATACTGATGAGGAAAATATGGATTTAGAAAAGAAAGATGATAGTTGTAAAAATCCCGTTATTAAAACTAGCACTGCAATTGCTAGTTTAAAAACTGTACATATGTTTCTACTCCAACAGGACAATGCAAAAGAATATGTAAGTTAGTAAGAAAAATTGAAAAATTTTTTAAAATCAAAAAAACAAGTTTGATACGGCAAACAAATATCGACTCATATTTTTATTAAAAGTAATACTTAGCTTGTGACTTGTGCTGTATAATGTTTAATTTTGAAATGTATCAGATAAAAATATTCAAATTTTAATAAACTCACTGAAAAAAATTTAAAGTTGCGATAATTGTGTAACAATATCTGTTATTTCATTAGTAGTTTTTTAAATGCATACCCTCTCTAAGTGTACGAATATGATCAGTCCTGAGAGTATGCACTTATAGAGAGTTTACTGTACGTATAACGCTAAATATTCTTAGACTTCATTTAATTAGAATTATCATCAGTATTTGAAAGATCTTTAGAATTACGTAGATCTTCTGTATTTTCAGAATTCGCAAAATTCTCAGTATTTTCAGAATTTTAAATTAAGAGATAATCATACTACGTCATTCACGTAACTTCATTATAACTGGCCAATTACTCTGTTAACAATATATTTTAATATTTATCTTTGAATACATAATAGAATATTAGATATTTTTTTTTGAGAATTTTATAATTAAATTGATTTATTAATATATGAATTTTTAGATTTATTATTAAATAATAATAGAAAATCAAATGTATTAATTGATGTTTAATATTTAAATTGATAATATCATAAATTCTAATAATATTAAAATAAAAGAATTTGAATTGCTAAATAAACAGTTTCTATTTTTTTTTGATAAATTTTACTGATTTTAAATGAATTTATAAAATATTAAAAAATAAAATATTTTATTATAAAATATTTTCTGACAAATTTCTTAAACTATCACCTGATAATTAAGGATAGTTAGATCAGTTTTGATCTAATTTTAGTTCTGAAATTTATAAGTCCTATTGAATAGATCTGCAGATTAAGTCCTAAAAAAATGAATCCTAAAACTTGAATCTTATTAAAATCAGTCCTGAACCTAGTTTTAGGATCTAATAGTCATAAGCTAAATTTTTATAAATTTTGTACTTGAATGATAATTTTAAAAGCTTTTTTCCTTTATTATTAAACAATTTAAAACTTAATATATTGCATATATCATTTATTTATTTATTAAAATTTTAATTAATTAATATAAACTTTAAAAAATGGCTATGTCCTATTTTTTTTCTCTGACATTATTATCTATTTAATTTTAGCATATAGATGCTTTCACAGTTTCTGATTGCAATTAATTTTGAGTTTTCATAATTGTATTTCTAGTAACAGAAAATACTAATTTTAAAATATAAAAAAATATAATCACAAATTAATGAGCAATTAAAAATAATAAAATTTTTGGATAATTTTAAATGTATTGATTAATTTATAATTATTATGTAATAAACTTACTTTGTTTACATGTAATGCTTGTAGATTATCCCTTAAACCGTCTAACAGACAAATTTTCCTGCTAAAATTTGTTTTAATCTGTATTTATATAACCACTTGTGATTTCCTTAATTAATACCTTCCACCTTTCTAAATAATAATAAAAGTGTATCATCTTGCTGATCATGATATAATTTCTTTTTAATCTTTTTTTTAGTGATAATCTAAAATCTCCACTCTGTTAAAAAGTATGTCTTCTGCAGTAGAACTAAGTGTGCTGTCTTCAATTTTAACTTCAAATTCATTTTCTCTTAAAACAAAATAAAATTTTGATGAAGAGGAGGAATATATACCACTTTTGACGTCCTATCAACATTTTATGGAATCAGATATTGAGAAGGATGAAGAGGAGGATACCAGAAACATTCGTAAAGGTAGATGTAAATCAGTAAAACTGTACAATTACTACCCACTCCTAATTTTGAACATTTTGTTCATCCAAAACTATTACACTGAGCATTTATTAACTTGCTACCAAATTATGAAGCTAATTTTTCCAAACCAATTAATCTTTTCTACTTTTTTTTTCAAACTCTATATTAGACACAATAGTTGTTAATACAAATTTGTATGCATTAACAAAAGACGCTGGTGCTGTTGGTAAAAAGTGGCAAAATATAGACTGTAAAGAGCTTATTATCTGGATAGCTCTAGTTATCTATCAAGGACTCTTTAAATTACCCTCACTTAATCAATATTGGAATAAAGATCTAAAGTTTCTCATCCATCATATTTCTAAATAAATATCATTAAATCGCTTTGAACAAATCAAAAGATACTTATACATTTCTCCTCCCATGGCTTTTTAAAAACTTTAAAATGTATGTGATGACCTCATGAATCTTTTCTGCTAATTTTAAAATGATAATTTATCTACATTTAAAGTTATTTAATTCATAATTTTTATTATATTGAATAATACAATTTTTAAAAAGTGAAATCAAAGTTATTTTATATTTGTATATATTAAATTTGATCTATGTATTATTATACAAATATAAATATATGCACATTATCATCAAAACCAGAAGATTATTTAAAAAATTTTTTTATTTAGTTAATATATCCAATCTTGAAAAATTTAAAAAAAGCTTGACTGAATACTTTTTAATGGTAGTATATCTTATAAAGTAATTAATAAGATTATAATATTTAATAAAATAATTGATAATTAGTTATTTATAAAATTTTTAATAATCTTTAAATTTATCATTTTTTTTTTAAAATAAAAATTCAAAATAAATATAAATAAAGATATTTTATTATTTGTAGATAATAATAAAATATTAAAATTTTTTTCAAAAATATTAATAAAATAAATAATAGTAAAATAAAAAAAAAGAAGATAGTAAAAAATTTATTTAAGTTTAGAAACATTATCATTGTAAAATTTTTTAATTCAAGTTAATTATATCTTTAAGTCTTTACTTAAAGTCACTAACTATAACTAAGACATTAAAATCTTAACTTTATCAAATTAAAGTTATTATAACAGATTTATAGCTTTAATAAAATCTTAAAAAAGTAAATAAAATTAAAACAATTACTCAAGAAATCACAAGTGAGGATTCATAATAACATTAAAGATTATTTTTAATTTAAAACATGTAATATAAATACAAAATAAACACAAAGATAACACAAAATATTTTAAAAATTACACTTCAGAGACTTCAAGATAATACAGTTAATCAATACAATACTGTATAATAAATTTATTAATAATAATTAAAGAGATTACAATGAATGCAAAAGGTTTACGAATAAATTATAATAATTTCAAATGATTGCAAAAGATAAGTTTTATACTTGGTTAATTATACTCTTTTATTAATATAATATTTAAGTTTAGTATCTAAAAGATTAACATTTTATCAGTTTATCTTTATCAGAAAGGTAATGAGACTTAATAATAAATATAAAGATGTTTATACATGTTAAATAATTAATAAAATAAAATAAACTAAAATATTTAATAGAAATAAACTGTTATTTTGCTAGGCAATAAAGTTATAATATTAATAAAATTATCAGATCTACAGATAACTAAATAGATATCTATAATCTACATAATTATCAAAAGCAATAAAATTAATATTTAGGAATTTACTTAATAATTAATAATAATAAAATAGATAAAATAATCTTTTTAATAATTTACATGATAATAAAATTGACTTCTTAATCTACTAATTATTTTTATCTAAAATTTTACTTATTTTAATATGCTAAACTTAATAAATTTGTCAAGTATAAAGACTTAAAAATGAGATTATGAATAGATTTAAAGAATTTAAATGACAAACTCAATTACAAATAATATGTAAAGATCACATCAAATTATATAAAGATATAAAAATACAAAAAATATATTTTTTAATTAATTCTTTTATTAATACTAAAACTTATATTCATAAAAAAGTTTACAAACTTGCAAAAGAATTAATTTACAATATAAGCAAAAGTCTATTTATTTATACAAAATTTCTTTTATTATAGCTAATTAATTACTATGCTATAAACTAATTAATTTGACAGATAAAATATTAGTAAAATAAAAATAATAAAAATAATAAAATATATAATATAATAAAAATAATAATAAAAAGTAAATACTAAGAATAAATATAACATTAAGTATTTTTAAACTTTATTTAATCTGTAAAATTAGGATTATCAGTATTTAGAAGATTTGTAAAATTATGTAAATTCTCTGTATTTTTAGAATTCGTAGAATTCTCAATATTTTCAGAATTCTGAATTAAGAGATCATTATATTGCATTATTCACGTAATTTTATTATTATTAGTTAATTATTCCGCTGATAATATATAATTAAAAAATAAAAATATTTTGTAATTATTATAAAGTTACTTGTATAATTACCAATATGAATAGGCTAAAAATAGATTACAAAAAATATGTTAGCATTTAGCTTTCTATTATAATAATTGTTCTGAAAATATATTTGTAAAAGAAGTTAAAAATAAACAGTTATTTTAAATAATAAAAAAATATTAAAAAATAATATAAAATATATTTTTATAAGAAATTTATATATAAAAATAATATAGAAATAATAGGTTATTAATATATTATAATGGGTAAAATTTTAGATAGATTTAATTAGTAGATTAAGAAGTTAATTTTATTGTCATATAGAACATTAAAAAGTTCATTTTGTCTATTTTATTGTCATTGATTATTATGTAAATCTCTAGATGTTAATTTTATTACCTTTAATAATTACGTAAATCATAGATGTCTATTTAGTTACCTGCAAATTTGGTAATTTTATTGATACAGTAATTTTATTGCTTAATGAAATGGTAACTTTATTTCTTTTAATATATTTAATTTAGTTTATTTATTAATTATTCAATATGTATAAATATTTATATATTTTTTTTGAGTCTCAGCATTGACATAATAACAATCTTTTAGGTACTAAATTTACATATTATATTAATAAAAAAATATAATTAACTAAGTATAAAACTTATCCTTTATAATACTTTGAAACTATTATAAATTATTTATGATTCTTTTATACTCATATAATTCCTTTAATTATTGTTAGTAAACTTATTATATAATATTATATTGATTTGTTGTATTGATTTGAAGTCTCTGAAATGTAATTTCTAAAATATCTTTAAGTTATCTTTATATTTATTTTATATTTATCTCATATATTTTTATATAGAAAATAATTTTTAATATTATTGTGAATTCTTATCCGTGATTTATTAAGTAATTATCTTAATTTTATTTACCTTTTGAGATTTTAATTGAAGTTACAAACTAACATAACAATATTTTTAATATAGTAGCAGTCATAAGTATCTGATTACTTGAGATTGTTTAAAATAATTATATAACTACCTCTTAAATTTTCTAGAAATATAATGTAATATAATACATGATCACCTGTAAATTTATAAGTATT